GTTTATTTTGATTGGTCAAATCTTGGCTGAGTTCAAAATCACCGATGCATGACTGTCGTAAATCAGTGGCGTACGCTAATCTGGGGTCTGTTGCTGGATTACCGTATGCCAGTGATTGCGCGATAATACTGGCGTTCGCAACGCCGCGCACAAGTTCACACCACTCGATTAACGTTACGCTAGCGTAAGTCGTTGTGTCTGAACATAGCCACAGGCTACGTTCAGACCTGTGAGATACGCCAGGCGTATCTAACGCCGGGCGTACGTTAATCCATGGCGTAACTAGCGAATGTCCAGACTGGGCGATTAATGAACGCTACGGTAGCGTAAGTATTCGCGCGAAATATTCGTATTCGTAATTCGCGCATTTTATTTTCTGTTTACATCTAGGTTTATTTTGATTGGTCAAATCTTGGCTGAGTTCAAAATCACCGATGCGTGACTGTCGTAGATCAGTGGCGTACGCTAATCTGGGGTTTGTTGCTAGATTACCGTACGCCAGTGATTGCGCGATAATACTGGCGTTCGCTACGCCGCGCACAAGTTCACACCACTCGATTAACGTTACGCTAGCGTAAGTCGTTGTGTCTGAACATAGCATTTGTATATAAAAGCTGGATAAAGGCCTAGGAACTAAGAAAAAAATTAAGTATATATAAATGAATAGTCTGATAAGTAATCTAAGTCTTTATTTAAACCGTTAATAAAAGAATTAGTTCTAAGAATCCACTTCAATTTTTCTTTGCGTCTATGTGAGAGGGATAAAAAGTTATTAGCGACCAAAATAAATCTTATGTCATTAATGCTATGGTTAGGTAGATTGAAGTGACAGGCTACTAGGAAACCAATGGAGTTGTCTCTGATGGTTTTTTTGTGATTATTAAATCGGAGGCGGAATTTAGTGCCAGTCTCTCCAATGTAATTACCAATTTGACATTTGTTACAAAATAAAATATAAATAACGTTAGAAGAATCACAAGTAAGTGGAGGGGGTCTAATAGTAATATTAGTACTAGGTATAGTGAATGTGTCAGAGGTTCACATAAAATTGCAAACTTGACATCTGGGTTTACTACATTCAACGTTACCAGAAGAGTGGGAATTCTTATGGAGTTTAGAGGATGAGAGAATAGATTTCAAATTAGTACAGAGAAAATCTTTGCATTTGTTAGTTCTGGCAAAATTCCTTCAACTGTGGGCATAGGGTATTGTGGAAGTTTTAAGGCCATGTTTAAATCACGTGGATCTAAACAGATTCGTAACTTGCCTGGTTTTCTCACGACCACCATATTGCTGATCCAGTCCGTAGGTATAGTGACTTTTTCTATCACCACCTTGGCCTCTAATTCTTGCAGTTTCTGTTTTACATCTCCTTTTATTGCAACTGCAATTTTCCTGGCTGGATGCTTGGTTGGTGTGATATTTCTGTCAATTTCAAAGTGATACTCTCCCGGTAGTTCTCCAAGACCTTCGAACACTTCAGGGTATTGTTTTAGTATTTTCTTTTCCAGTTCTTGACTGCTATTTTTCTTTTGAATCTGATTAATATGCTTTGCTACTTGTATCAAACCCATTTCTATTGATGTAGAGCTTGATAACAGTGGTGCTTGTGTGGTGTCAGGGACGTCGCCAGAATTTTGAAAGGGGGGGGGGCGTTTTCCGAAGTACGTAGTACCAAGCGGTAATTGATTTGAGAAGGGCGCCCCCTCCCTATGGCTGGGGCTCGCCAAGGGCCCCGCCGGTGGGATGGTAACAATTTTTGAACGTTCTGAAGGCTGTAACTGAGCGCATTTCTATCATTTACCAATCACACTCAATTTCCAGTTTCCTATTGACCAGTGATCCCATCATCATCATCTTGGTAGGCCTATCTGAATCGGAGATTTTTTTTGTATGAACGCACGGATTAGCGCGTATGTTTGTGATCTGAATTTGGTAACCGTTAGCTGCCGTGTGTGAACATAGCCAAAGATAACCTTTTAATATCACAATGAGATTTTCGTTTCACGAAGAGACACAAACTTCGATGTACGTGTGAACAACCTATGCAGGGTTCAATTTTATCGTTTTCACGAAGTCACAATTTTTTCAAGCTAGTAACAGGCTAATAAGAAAAAGAATATTATTGAACAGTCTTTGATACAACATAATTATGTTTGTGCAGTTCAGCTGTGAGCCCGGGCAATTTTGTTCTTGAATGCATTTGATAGAACTAAAAAATGACAGAAGCAAATTTTATCCGATTAAGTTTAATATATAAATGATCAAAAGAAAACTTGCTTTCTGATTTCGCTTCAACCTAGACGTAATACGACTCCTCATAATATGCCAGCTCAAATCACGCTGAAAACACATTAATATCGCCTATTTTCGTAATTCAACCCAAAAAATGACGGTGCCAAATATTTTAAAACAAATATTTTGTAAGTTGTCGGCAATAGCTATATTTATAACCTTCTAGTTTATGAGTTACGGTTTTTGTAGTAAAATCTGTCGATATCTTTGAAGAAGCGCAAAATGGTTAAGTTTACAGTAAAGTAGGCCAAACAAATTGAAGTGTAGTCCACTTCAAAGGCTTTTTTTTTTTAAGTTTGTGTCTCATCGTAAAAAATTGTCTATTATATCAACACCAAACGTCGTGATTGTGTCTTTGAAAACCTGTCAATAATGCGGTCTGTATCAATTGCTACTGTGTTATAAATATTCATGAGTGCGAGACCATTCAGTCGTTCTTGTGAGGTGCGGTTGCGAAGGTATGTCTTCAGACGTCTTAAAGTAGAGAAAGAACGTTCAACTGTTGCTGTCGAAACAGGCAGAATACTTGCAATTTGAAGGAGTGCTTGAATGGTTGGATATAGGGAACAATCACAATGTTTGACAGTAGCTATATGGTCAGTTGGAGACTTGTCATCAAATTCACGCTTCCACTTGCAGACCCACTGTCTATACTCCGCGACTGCTTTCATTACATCTGCACATCTAACGTTGTTAGCAGTCAGCGTCTCTGAGTATGTCTTCCATAGAGTTTGGAACTCATCCACGGATTCTCCATATTTGTGGCAAGATGAAGGAAGTAAAATGTCAAAAATACCAGCTATCTTCGATTTATCGTTAAACCGAAACTTTAGTTGAGCTAGAATGGTGTCAATGAAAGGGATATACACAGCTACTCGGAAATAATCGAATCCAGATGATACATCTGGATTGCTACGGTAACAGGACCTGCTACAAACCCTAGGTGGGGTTATTTCGAGTTTTAGACAAGCCACGGTGTCATTAATCCACTTCATTAAGGTGGTGAATCTAATTTCGCTAAGTTTACGGTCATTTTCTAATGTTGCAATTATATCCTGAACATGCAGCATGGCTTCCCGCAAGCTAGTGTTTTTCTTCTGAAGATTTTTCGACAAGTTGTCAATGTTGTTCAATACTGCAACACAACTGAATAAGGTTACTACGAAAGTGCTGTTTGTAATACCATTAAGTAGAGATTTCGCCTTTTGGTTTGCATCTGTGTCTCTCCATCGGCTAATTGCCATCAACGCTCTCACGATTACGACGTAATTCGTAACAAACCTCTCAAGAGTTGTCACCCGTTCCACCCATCTGGTTTCACAAAGCGATTGTAAACCACTCTGACCTTGAGCTTTTGATATATCTGCAGCTTTAGCAAGGATCGCCTTCTTTTTGTTGCTCTTAGACAGAAATGTTGTCACTTTTTTCACTCTGCTTATCATATTTCTCACAACTGGCAACTTTGATGCGTGCACTAAAGATAGATTTAGAACATGAGCAGAACAATGATAATAATCAGCATGAATACAATGTTTTTTAACATATGCACTAGTACCAACTGTGGCACCATCGTAACTTTGGCCGATGGCTGCCTCAAGATTCATTCCGGCATTCTTTAACACACGCAGGATTGCCTTACCAATTACTTCTCCAGTGAGTCTTGGCTCTTCGATAGTACACTGAAAACAAATTCTTGTCATGTTGACAAGATAAAACTTGTTTTGCTCGGGTGCCTGTATTCACAAGAATTCACTTGTCATCTTGACCAGTTTGAATCTTGTCATCAACTTGTCACAATCTCGTCATCAACTTGTCACAATCTCGTCATCAACTTGTCACAATCTCGTCATTACCTTCTCACAATCTTGTCATCATTTTGTCAATCTTGTCATCATAGCATTGTGCGGAGAATCTTGGATATGGTATTTAAGATCCTGGTCTCCTCCATTTACCCTAAACTTTAATAGACGACGAAAATTACCTTCCCCGTCCTCCAATTTGTCCAAAATAATAGGTCCACTGTCATTTCGGCCTCTTAACGCTATGTTGTTTTTACCACAGAAATCGATGATCCTTACTATTGGTCGTAACCGTAAACGATTCTTTTCGCAAGTTTCACGATGACTGGCATCCATGACCTTAACGATATTGGTATGTTTGAGTTGAGCCGTGACAAACGCTTGACATTTTGCTGCTGCATTCTTGTGGTATTCATTGTTCAAATGTTTGTTTAAGTCACCAGTCTCTCCTAATATTCGATCATAACGCGTTAAAGGCTTTTTAACTAAGGTCCCAAGAGGAACATCCGTCCTATACGTAGCTTCTCCTAACCTGGTCAAAACGCACACTTTACAAAACAACCCTCCTGCCGTCTGACTAAAAGAAATATCAGGAAACTTGTCGATATGGTGTTGCTGTAAATACCTTTTAAACGTGTGGCAGCCTTGTTTTTTTAATGAAAATGGCCAGTGAAACCCAATATTTGGCTGCCATTTGTTTTGAAGTATGAACAATTTTTCCATATCAGTTGCTTTTTTATCTACAAATATGTCTATGTCGTAATCAACAGAAAGGATAGAAGAATTAGTAGAGGGAGCAACGATGGCCGTAGCCTTCTGTCTTTCATTGTGTTGTAGAGTAGGCGTACCTGGTTTAAAACCAAGGTGCCCATTGTCAGCACGTCTCAGACATCTGGTATCGGATGCTCTATTTGGATCAGAGACGGGCTGATCCTCAGCATGCCTGGCATATGATGTTTCATTTGGACCAGAGGCGGACTGATCCTCAGCACGTCTAGTATCGGGTATTTCGTTTATATCAGAGGCGAGCTGATCATCAACACGTCTGTTATCGGGTGTTTCGTTTAGATCAGTAGCGAGCTGATTATCATAACGTTTGTTATCGGATGCTTCACTTGGATCAGGGACGGGCTGATCCTCGGTATTTCTCGCTTCATCGGATGCTGCATTTGGATAATTTGCGGGCTGATCCTCAGCACATTTGGTACCAGATGATGTACTTGGATTACTATCAGAGGCGGACTGATCATGTGACTCAACAACTCCTGGTGGAAAGAAAATAAAAACAAAACAATGTTTTTTTTCAATAATGTTTTCTGAGGGAGAATGACACTACAAACACCGTCCAACTATTATGTTTGCTCATTTATTCCTCAACAATTTTACTAATCACGCATCAAATCTTAATGTAGAGCTAAAACCAAATACATAGGGCCTACCTAAGTTTATATAGTGATATTCTCCGACATGGCCCAGAAGCAGAGTCGTATTTCGTGTGCAGATGGAAGGAAGTAGAGTAACGATAGCTACAATTTGAACAGCGCTAATTAAAATCTGCACTTTATATGAAATCGATATTATCTTAGGCCTACTGGTTGTGAAACTGGAAAATCAGAAGTTCGCACTATTTTATATGCAAATTTAAGCCAATTTTATAATTTAGTCTCATATATAGCATTGTAAGTATAGTAGGCATAAAGGTCAAACAGTGATAATTGGCAAATTTTACTGTTCTGCTTTAACTACAGTCATTTCAAGATTCAATTTCCTTGTAAAAAAACGGCAATCACAATGGGCACACATATAAACACTTATTGTTATTCTATAATTATTTACAACCTTTGTTAGCACTTGGCATCTACATGCGCTTCTCTTAAATCTCTACCAGACCCATCAGTTACAGTACGTTCTATAGGCCCTACCTACGTACTTTTAATCTATTTATCATTTAAATAGAAAATCAGATTGCTTACCTCATCTAATATAATTTCAACTTGATCGGCTTTTTTTCTTCTCGACGCTACTTTTGCAAA